TTTTTCATTTCGAGGGGGAGAATCGCATCCCGAACATGCTTGCATTGTTGCTTAGAGTGGTCAGAAGACTCTGCATTTGTCAGCGTCTTCACCAAATAAAACTATGTCATCAGCATATGCTAAGTCAACAAGTGAACCTCCTGGTAGAAGTTCAACCCCTGTAAATTTAGATGAGGAAAGTGTTATCTCTAAAAGTACGTCAATGACAAAGTTGAACAAGAATGGGGAGAGTGGACAGCCCTGACGAACACCACTTGAGGTGATCAATTCTGATGACAGTTCGCCATAAGCTCTCACTCTACCAGTTGTGTTCGAGTAGAGAGCCTTTATAAGGTTAATGTACTTCTTTGGTACTCCTTTCAGTGACACACACTGCCATAGAACCTCACGATCAATAGAGTCGAATGCTGCCTTAAGGTCGAGAAATACTACCATTGTGGGGCGTCTGAATGTGTGTCTGTGTTCTAGAACCTGACGTAGTGTGAATATCTGATCTATACAACCACGTCCAGGTCGAAAACCAGCCTGGTTTTCTCTAGTCTGCTCTTCACGAGCTTTAGTTAGGCGTCGAAGTATTATTGAGGTTAATATTTTAGACACTATATTAGTCAAACTGATTCCTCTGTGATTGTCACAAGAGGACTTTTGTCCTTTCTTAAAAACTGGCACAATCAGTGATTGAGACCAGTCAGATGGGATTACGTCCAGTTCCCAAATTCTACCTAAGACCTCAGTTAATCTTGCTGCTAATACTTTCGACCATTACTGTATTTGGCTCTGTTCGTTATTAAGGTACAATATATAATGCATCCCGGTATCTGGAGAAAACCTGTTTAATAATATGTATTTTACCCTCTTTATTCAAAACGTGTTTCAACTAAAAAACCTTTCTATTTAGCATAAATTAATGACATGATACTAAACAATGTACAGTACATTTTTCCCGTTTGTACAGAGCATCTTACTTAAGGAGTATTACATAACATTGATTTGATATGAATTTTGAATATTGTACCGATCAGATAAAATTTATCTGAATCATTCTACAACATTAGATCATGACATGTTAGATTATATTTTGATCACATATTAAAATACTTTCATACAAATTAAAAAGGTCAAACTAAACAAATGAAGACAAACAAAGAACAAGGAGAATAACAAAATAAATCACCAGTCATATCACAATTGTTGTTGAAATCAATAATAACAGAATAAGTTTCATGTAAGTATTTTTCAATACACAAGAGGATCCGAATTTTCGCATGATTAATAGCTTAATAAATTTATATACACTTTCTAGATCACTCTTATATCAAACTAAAATGACTGGATTTAATTCAGTCTTATGACCTATTGCAGCTATATTTTTTTTAAAGGGAATGATTGTTTCAAATAATATACTGGCAATTAAAAGTTTTGCCATAACCTATTTGGGATAGTAAATCAAGATTTACTACTCTAGATCTGGAATCAATCAAGGTTAACTGTCAATTTAAATTTTAACTTAAATCAATACAATATCATACTTATACCTCATGAGGATTCATTGTTGAACTAGTATAATTCCTAAAAGGATTCCTAATGTGATTGTTTGGAAGACAATATTATTTGTTTCATACAAATGATATTGTCTTTTGAAAATGAAGAAATGAGTAAACTTACTTTTCCTCTGTAAAGGATAATCAACACAATAAACTGAGAACAAGAATGGTCAGATGTATGGCCAGCTCCTGAATACACCGTAAATTTTTGAAACCAAAAAAGTTCTATTGCCTATCTAAGAATTAGAAGAAAACATCAGTCATACCTTATCTTATTATTTTACAATGACCTACTCTGTGCTTCACGAGCTCACTTTAAAGATTATGCATTCGGTTAACCTTAAGAGAATATTTATGTGCAATTTACAGAATGGTTTTAATATTTTCAAAGAGAATCGATAAGATTAATTTAGACTAGGAGTACATAATTTAATCTGCTGTATATGTTATATTAATTGGGTGCCGTAGTCGGCGATTATCGAATCCATATACAGTCCTGTGATACTGACTGTAAAATTTTTATATGGACGCGTCTGAATAAAACAATAATACTGGAATCAAATATCACAATAAGAGAAGTTAACATGATCTCATTTATAGTTAAACTACTTTATTAAATAGATATCTGTATAATAACAACTACTGCCCCCCCCTTTACACAAACACGTCGTTTGAAACCAAATTTTCTTGTTGTACAAAGGTGGCTAATAGATTAACGAGCATCGTTTTACTAATTTAACTTTTTTTAACGAATGCTTCCATTATTTTATAGAAATTATTTATCTCGTCATCGTACTTCATTCAATTTGATTGATGCATTTCTTACTTAGTTTAGTCATGATCTAAGCTGTTGTACGGTATTATCACTAGACATATGATTTCTCTAATGAAAATGTTTCCGTACTAGCTACTGTACCGTTTTTCTTCTTAAACATATTTACAAACTACTGTGAGCAGTTCACTATCGTCTAAATGATTAGTAAAAAATTATACCAACTTGCCTACATTTTTAATTGATATTTTGTTTGCTATGATCGATTTCTTTTATATGGATTGAACATGTGTGGATGAGGAAACTCCTCAGAATCACGTACTATTTTATTATTCCATGACTTCAGTATGCAAAACTACATTTCATATTGGAATTAATAAGTAAATATTTAAAGCGTATTAAACTAAATGAGTCTACTTCACACCACAATATTTGTTCCCTTTATTCCAAAGACCATACTTAAAAGACAATGCTCAATTGCTGTAAAGATACTTATGTACATGACTATAGCCTAGCAAGTGTCAAGATACTCCATTTCGAAACATGTACTACGGTCGTTATTACATGCCTAAAGAACTACGAATTTTAGCCACTCATCACACTTTGAGTGTGAGAGCTAATACCACAACCCGGTTTTCGAAACTGAAGTAGGGAGAGGACAGTTAGTTAAAAACTTTAACCACTAAGCCATATACATATATATTACAGAACAATTTATTCAACGCTTTATTCTAACAGATTACTTACTACTCATGGATGTTTGAATTAACTTCGACAGATAGAAATATTCGTAATAAATATTACGAAAAAGAACTGGGATATATAACAGTCTGTCAATAAGTCTAGGTTCGACGAAATGGTTAGGATTTTAAATTTATGAAACCTAATTAGATCAAGAATATATGAACTTTCAGAAATTTTATTTGTGTAGTACTAATTAGTTGATGTGTGACAAATCCAGTTTAGTGAATCTTACGACTTATAGCTAGCGTACTGGTTTTATTTATACGCGAAGAGAAAAAACGAAAACTTATGACGACGGAATGAATGGAAAAGACCATGGACAGATTTCACTGGAAATCAGAAATTAATGGATATCAATTTTAATCTGAAATATGTGGTCATAGTTACACTGTGGACTACACAAAATATCTTACACTTTTGTTGACAGAAGAAAAACTAACAGTTCTCATCATGTGGCTCATGGATAGGTACATAACTAGTTAGGAAACCATTTTAAAATAGAAAAATGATTGTAAATTTGTTTTATCCTGACTCAGAAACTACTAAGTAATATGCACTTTTAAATCCATAAGCGATAGATAATAGAACTTTCATTGTTTATTAACTTTTTCCAACAGATCTTTTAAATTTGCTAGTATAGTTCCGTAAAATCAACACCCTTGTCTATTTGAAATGGAATCATAGTTTTATGTGACGCTTAATAACGAATTAAAAAAACTCTCCAAAATAACTTTTTCAGGAAAGTGTTAGCAGACGACATACCGAAAAATACACTTACTTAAGAAACCAGACTATTTCAAATTAAACAAAATTCCTCGTTGCGATTATGTTGTATATCAATGTGAAGTCAGAATCTACCACTTTGATTCTCTTCTAGTAAAATGTAGATGTAACTTTAAATGTAATCTTACTATTACAAATAAACTGAATGTTACAAGCTAAAAATTTTATACAGAAATCTTTGGTATGTGCATATTGTTCACTACTTTTATTTCAACAGTAATCCTACACCCATTACATTTTTATCCTAACTCTCATCGTTTTGGAAAATACTCCCCTCTGACATAACTAATGTACAGTTTAGGTGTGATGCCACGCATGGCACAGGTTAGTAGGATCGTTAGACTAAAACAAGTTTACTTTCCAACATTAAAATGTCAAATGATCTTTGTACATGATTCAAGACCACCATAAACAGTGAATATATCTAGTTACTCAGTTAAATAACCTCATATTTCGGAAACTGGCAAAAATATTTAATTTAATAATTTAAATTTATCGAAACACGAAGTACTTTGTACTTGAGTGCTATTTACAAAACGTGTAGTGCGTCCTAAACATTTGTCAAGACTTAACTTACCAGTTTGTCCGTCCTCAGTATTTCACTACGTCCAACTAGATCTATTCGAGTAACAATTAAGAGCTTCAGTTCATATTGCACAATCACATTCACGACTAGGTTTAATAGATATCTCAACTACGAAAAAATTTCCTGACTTAACTTTTATTTATTGAGACAAATGTTTTTTTAGATATACACGTATCCGAGAAATATTTTTTTATTTTCGAACTTCAGTAACGACAAAACACGAAACTGTCAGAAAGAAATGCATAAACTGTAGTTATTCAACAAAATAAGGCAAAATGAGAATAAACTGAGCACATCTGAAGTGCAATTTTAGGAAACCAAAAGGGATCTGTTACTGGAATTCCAGTATAAAGGGAAATATTCACAGAAAAGTATTGACAGAATTAAATAGTTGCTCAAACAAGTATATCGCAATCTTGTGAAGAAAATTAAATTATGTACACTGTTTCCGCACATGCGAAAACTACACAGATCTTATATAGAAAATAAATTTACAAGATCTGGTAAGGAATGAAATTAACCCGACGAAATTTCTGGGAGTCTCTAATCTAGGTACACGAGTTTTGCAAATTCAAAAGAATATATTAGTTCTTGAAGACTCTGCTTGTTCTATTTCTTCTAGCGTTTTTGCCTTCGTTGGATTAAAGGATGGATTAGATCTAAGTGGTTGCTTTGATTTTTCCCACTCAACTAGTTGTGATAACAAAGTCAAACTTCCATTACTAGTTAGAGATTCATTAACCTTAGTTTGGTGTTGAGCAGAGGAATTCTTATTCCAATTAATAGATGACGCTAGTGATGGGCTTGAGCTTTGGAACGGCAATAAATTTCCATAGTTTTGTTTTGAACACGGTAAAGATCCATGAGAATTATTTAGATTTGATGGCTCAGTACTGCCAAGGTAGAACTGCTTCACATTCATATCAAGCAGACGATGGCTAGAATCTGAAAATAATAATTACAAAAAGTTAAAAATATTCATAAAACATGAATTAACTGCAGTAAACCAAAAGTTAATTTTGCTTTAACGCAGTATAACTCACCTAGGTTCGTTGTATGCAATATGTAAACGATCAGATCAGAGTATGGACATGTTTTTACAGTGACTACTCACTTTTCGGTTCAAGGTTGAAATCGTACTACAGACTTTATAAGGACGTTGGTAGTAACTGTGTTTAATGTAGAAAACTAGCATATCTACCAATTTATTTTACACAGATGAGAGGGGTTAAAATTCATTAGTTAGAAATAACAAAAATTTTCGATCCCAACACCAAAATCTAGAGTCGTTTGCAACACTCTCCAAAATGTCACATTACCTGGCTGAAGCAATTGTCAATTACAACTTGGGTCTAAGTTATAATAATTATGCAACTCATTTATATTGAGGGCCTAATTGGAAAATGGTAGATTTAAATAGGCTCCTCCCAACTCTTAATAAAGTTGAAAGGACTAAAGTTAATTTAAAGCGAGGGATTTTAGTGGATTATGATGCGTTAAACTCTTTTAGGATAGTTTAGGTTAACCAATTCGACAAACTGAGACACCAGCTAGTCTGGGAAATGAACATAATCTCATCCACCTGGCCCCAAAGTGTAAGCAAGGATGGAAATTCTCTTGTGATAGCTGAATAGGAATTAGTTTGACTAGGATATTAGCTTCAATAATTAACCAACGCTGAACTAGGGTTTGCAAACAACAAATCCAACAGGTTTCAGATTTGGACGTCGATATTTAAATCGGATATTGACTTTCACATTTTGGAACACAGACGAAGGCTCACTACTTCAGCAATGTTGGTTAAGCTCAAATATATGAGGAACAATTACCAAAATATTTGACTTTAAGTGCTATTCGACAGCTTTTGTCATTTTCGTTGAAGTAAAGTAGTTTAGCGTCCTAACCATCTGTCCCAGGAGTCTCATCAGTCCTGTTTAGTTGGTATTTGATGGGATACCGGCACGGATTCGGAAGGCTCGCTTGACTTTTGTCAGCATGAGTCACCCGTGGTGTAGGTAAGATGTCTGTTTGAAAAAAAAAGAACGAGAAAGCCGAACAGTAACTGGTTTCATCTTAGCCTTATGGCTGTGAAAACTGACCTTAAAAAACAAATATCTGGTTGTTACTACTTGATTAAAAGTAACTATGAAGCATTGCTCGAGAATGCTGGAACCACCGAGTAAACAGGGCTGAAGCTAGATGAAAGATACGAAGCAAAATGATAAGACTTTAAAAGAATACTGATGACGAAGCTACACACTTTGGAGATGACTGTTAATTGATAATTTTGCTCCTAAGAACAGAAAGCAAATGACAAGGGAACAGAACATAATGCTCATGGGAAACAGCTTACTTCTGTAGTATTCATGTTCGGGAAGTAGTATGGCTTTGATTATGAATAGGCATTATGATAAGAATTACTCAGGCATCAATCTTAGTTTAATGCTTCGAGTGAAAAGTTTGCCATTTCGTAAAACTAAATGAGATGAACGAAACGCAAGGTGAGCAATGTCAGTTCAAATTAGTCAAACTTCCAACAAAAAGGAATCAATTATGAGTTATGTGGAAATTGCATTTCACAATGTAGTCATTAAGATTGTATCACGTGTAAGAGGATAAGTAATCTTAGATACAACTAACCTTCACAACCACATACACACACAGAAACGGCATCACCTACCTTGGTGAACTGATGGATTGACAGACAAATGGCTTTGGTTATTATTGAAAGCAGAGTTTGGTGCCTGTTTATTTGAGTTGTAATCAGCGAAAATATTTTGTTGAGCCTTAACTATAGGTCTTCCAGGTAATCCTGAGTCCGGAGTTTTAATAGTTTGAAATCTAGATGCATCAGGATACAAACCTAAACTTAGATTCAGTAAAACTGCTGTTATTACCTAAGGGGTGCAGTTGTGGGCTTGTGTGAGAAGCAACATCCCTCGTGCCATTCCAAATTTGACGAAGGGGACCTAAAAAGTAATTTAAGGAAAATCACTATACCATGCGAAGGTAGATCGACATCACAAGGTACGTCAAGGGGGACACCTGGGTTTTGCAATCGACTAATACATGAACCTGCAGACGTGGCATCTCCCTAAAAGAAAGAAAAAATTAGTTAGATGAGCAAATGAAATTGTTATACCAAGTTCAGTCAATCAGTCAGCTACAAAGTAGGACCAGGCACATATATGCATCGGTCCAAGCTGCCACACCTCATTAACACAAGATGATCGAATTCATAGTAGGTACATCAATGGTAGTACGAAGCTATTAAGAAACAAACGCAAACCATTGTATTGAGCCAATAAGAAAATAGTAAACATGTGAGAATTTATCGATAGTTAATGTCCACAGAAAAGATTGCATACCATAAAATTTGAGACCAGTCCAAAATGTGAGTGTGAATTTTGCGGATTTGTAGACTGAGAGTAGACGGAGTTTTGCTGTTTTCTGATCATCAGTGATTGCAAAATAGGCACCAGATTGGAAGTCGTTCCTGATTGAGAAAACAAGCTACAGTTTTTTGATGAGCCAATAGGTATGCCACGAGATTTAATGGCTTGATCATCTATGAAAGGATCCGAATAATGAGTAAGAGGATCAACGATTGGATCGATTGATTCGTTTATATCAGTTGAATCTCCTTGAGGTAATTTAAGCTGAGCTTCAATTTCTTCAACAGTTAGTACTGCTGGTTTTGATTCTAAATAATTAAGTTATATGATTATCAGGGTGCACTCACCTTTGACCGGCCCAACATTCGGGGAATTAACAGGGCCATGTCCAAGTAGAATAGAGCGAAGCTTATTTTCAACTTGAAGAGTTGAAAAAGAATTAGGATTTGTAGATACCATACCACTGTTCTTTTCAGGACTGAGATGACTGGCAGAATTTCCGCACGGACCTTTCAGCAACCTAAGTAATTGTTCGTTGATATTGTCTAAAGAAGCTGGTTTGTTCGGAAGCTTATTTTCATCTGATATCTCATTCTTTTGAAACAGGTGTTTGAAACGGCTTCCTTGATTATCGGACATCACCTGATCCGTGACACTCGTTGTGGATTTGCTTGGTTGTTCAGGGAATGCATTGCTGCCGTCTTCCAAGGCTTTGTCATCAAAGACGTTTCTATTACTAATGCTCGAATTTGTCAATATACTATCATCAACTTGCGAAATATCATTTTCCACTCCTACGCACTTTCTGAGTGAGCCACATTCCACGGTTTCTTCTAAAATTCCTCCAAGTTCAATCGTTTCGTTAACCGTGGTAGGACCTTCTGCAAACCACTCAGGTTCATCATCGCTGTGCGAACAAGAAATTCGACGGTCATGACTGTAACGGTCTTCTCTGCTGTGGTTTTTAACAAACGGAGCACTTTCAGCATGTTTTCCCAGCCCGCGATCACGACCTCGACCGGAGCCACGAATATCGTTGGACCGATACTCTCTTTTGTAGTCACTAGTCGTTTTACAATGCTGCTTGTCGTAGGATCGGTTTTCTGAGTTAAATTTAGGCCAACGAGTAGAATTGTTTGCATCTGATGTTTCACGACCTTGAGGCTGTTGAGAGACATGACAACCAGTGTTCCACGAACGTTTTTGAGGACCGAGGACTATGTTAGAAGCATCTCGAGTCTTCTCTGTACAAACCGTTTGTTAATGAATTTACTTAACGTACCACCTCCCTGAGTTTTAGAAAAAGAATTGGGTCTAGGCCTTCCGCGAGTTGAACGCATAACAGAAGCATTTATCCGAGAGAATTCGTCCGAAAATTCAGCAGTAGAAACCGCATTTTCTTTAACTGCCAGGATTTCTTCCTAATAGCGTAGAACATTATTTTGTCGAACAAACTTACTCGGGTATAATGGATTCGACAGCTCTTAGACTCACATTGACCATCAGACTTACGTTCACCCATTTGAAAAACGCAGGGAGGATTGTCAATTTGATAAGTGGCCAGGAAACAGCCAAAAACAAACCCAATACCTGCAACAACCCAAGCCTCTATTAAGAGTACATGAAATCGTAAGCTCCAAACAATCCGCCTCACTAACGGGAAGTAGCGCTGCAATACAAATTCAATCGTGAAAATTATAGCTACAACATGTCTAGATAAGTCGATCACGCTCAACTGAGGTTCTAGAAGTGCAATGTCTGAGGGACTGGATAACTCTCTGCTTAATCAGAGCATGAAGAGGCATCAACTTATATCTTTGTGATGTTAGAACCCTCACAATTGACTGTGGTGTCTCCTTTTCTTTTGTATATCATGACCATTAGTTTGTACGTCGTTTGTGTTTAAGTACGGTTACAACTTTAAATACGATTTGAAGAGCCAGTCAGGATGAAATTCATGTGCGTAAATCTAAACCCTACGTTTAACATGTTTTCAGTCTTCAGTAATAAGGATAGGAGGTCTGTCGACCTATATTAATCCTTGCAGTTTGTAATACTGTTGAGGTCCAATCTCGTTTTGAATATATTACCAGACGGTGCTGATATTACGTGTTCCAGTAGAGAATTCCAGTAATTCACTACTCGGTGCGAGAAACGGAACTCCAGACGTAAACGGTTTGATCTCGGTTTTTGAACTTTCTTCGAATGTCCTCTCAAATGATCGGTTCTAGAAGGAAGCCAAGGATAAGACATGTTAATACCAAGGTCATCGTTCAGTATATGATAAGCCAATATTAGATCACCCCGTACTCTACGGTAAGATAACGGAAATAAGTTAAGGTGTCTCAGTCTGTCTTCATAAGATAGGCCAGCTAGACCTTGTACCATCTTAGTAGCTCGTCGTTGGACTCTTTCTAGCATATCTGCTTCATATTTGAAACAAGGACTCGCTGCTTGAATCCCGTATTCTAAATGTGGTCGCACATAAATCGGGTATAGTAATCCAAACATTTCATCATCTAAATACTGAAAAGACCTACGAATTGACCATATTACCCTATAGCCTTTCGCAGCAGCAGCCTTACAGTGACTAGTCGTTTTGAGATCATTGCTTAATATAACTCCTAAGTCTTTATAGTTTCTTGCTTTGGGTAGCACGAATCCACGTAGTGTATAGTCATACGATTCATCAGAGTTATTTAACTGCATCCCTACACTTTTATTAGGATTTACTTCTAAAGACCACCTGTCTAACCATGCCACCAATGAGCTAAGATCGTCCTGTAATACTATTCTATCCGACATACTATGTATGGGTCTCCAAATCTTTATGTCATCAGCGAAGAGTAGAACGGATGATTTTGCTACAGTTGGCAATTCATTTACATAAAGTAAAAGGAGAAGAGGACCTAGGATTGTGCCTTGGGGAACCCCACTTTTTACAGGTACCCACGAGGAGAGAGCCCCATTAACCCTTACCCTTTGTCTCCTGTCATGGAGAAAGTTACTTATCCAATCGACGACTGTGTTATGGATTCCAAAACGTTTCAGTTTGAATTTAAGACCAGAGTGTGAAACCTTATCAAAGGCTTTACTTAGATCTATGAAAATTACATCCACAGGAGCATTCCGATTCTTTGCCGCAGCCCACTCTTCTCGTGCAATGAGAAGATTTGTCAAGCAAGATAGGCCTTTCCGAAAACCGTGTTGTGCCCTGGAGAAAAGATTTTGCCCTTCAACATAGTTTATAACAGCTATCCGAATGATTTTCTCCATCAGTTTCACAACTGCACTAGTTAAGCTAACGAATCTATAGTTACTAACTAAATCCCTACTCCCAGCCTTATACACCGGACTTATTATGGCGTCTTTCCAGTTTCCAGGATGTCTGGACTGTCTCAGAGACATGTCGAATAGTATCGCTAATGGTTCAGCAATTTCATCCGATATGGCTTTCATAATCCTAGGATGAATATCATCGGGACCACTGGGCTTATCAGGTTTGGGATGCTGAAGTAGCCTTAAAACAGTATCTTTCTCAATGACTACAGGATCCATCAGCGAGCCGTCACGGTCACGATGAATCATTGGTCGTTCCTCATTACCGATAGAAAACACTTTACTAAAATATTCCGATAAAGCTTCAGCTTTTTCGGCATCATTCTCTGCTAAGATTAACGGATTGTCTCGTATCAAAAGTGATGGAATTCCATCGCTTCTCTTAGTTCGCCTTTTTATATACGAGAATAACCGTTTCGGACTATATCTAGAATCCCTAACCAATTGTTTTTCGTATGAATGTCTAGTCTTGCTTATTAACGCTTTACAGGTATTCCTAATCTTACAATAACTGGATCTGTATTGTTATAAGCCAGTAGAGATGAACATATTCCAGTGATTCCTCCTTTTTCTAAGGAGTTTCCTGACCGTTTTAGTTATCCATGGTGGACTATTATTCGGTCTTCGCGGTACCAGGTATGGTATGAACGGGGACGTAACTAGTCTAAATTTACCTTTAAATGCAGACCATGCTTCTTCAACTAATATGCTAGTATCTACTAACCAATCTGTCTTAGCAGCGCATTCCTGAATGGCTGATATGTTAGCTTTCCATACATTTGGGCGCGGTGTAACCTGATCGTATAACATGTCCCTAGTTCTAAACGCGAATGACAAAACAGCGCGATCGCTGTTTACTAACGGTGGAAGAATATTTAAGTCGACAATATCCTCAATCTCATGAGTGATTACCAAATCCAGCAGAGAAGAACCCTGGTTAACACCAAAACGTGTGGGTTGGGATACATGCTGCACTAGTGCATGCTCCATTATTGTTATCAGTAACCTACTATCAAAAACGTTTATAGATCCTTCTGTGGTCATATCAGTCCAACTAATATCAGGTGCGTTAAAGTCTCCTATCATCAAGCACCTGGTATTATCACTCCAAAGATGAATGTGCTCTAAAACAAAGTCATCAGCTAAGCAGATTGGGCTCCGATAGATGACACATAGCATAAATGTACTACATCCTATAGCCAGCTTACAACTAATAACTTCACAAGTGCCGCTATCATGGGATTCGCTAGTAGAGGAGCGGATATTTATGCCATTGGCTATATATAACAGGACGCTGCCTCCTTTTCTACATCTATGTCTATCACTCCTGATGCAATGGTATCCGGATAATTCTGGAGTAAAGTCTAAGTCATGGACTAATCAAGTTTCTGTCACTGCTACTATGAGTGGCTTTAACCTGTCTACTAGTGCTTCTAGTTCATAGAACTTATTTCGTAAACTACGAGCGTTGGCATATAAAACTCCTAAGTAGAACAGCCTATCCACACAGGCCTTGGTAGCATTCGCTTCCAAGACCTGACTATCCGAAAACCCACTAACCGGAGATTTTCCTCGCCGTTTTGCTGACGGGTTTCAAGTTCAGCTAGTGCTTTCCTCCTTTTTGTTCTGTCTTCGAGAGACATGTCAGGTCTAACTCGGATGTCAGAATTGTCGTGACAACGAGCGCTACTTAACAAGAGATCCCGTTGCTTCTCCGATCCTAGGATTACCTTAAGGAGTCTGCATGGACGGGGTTCAACATTGTCCTCGGTCCTCTTGCCTATTCTTACCAATTTTTTGACCTGAACTCCTTTGGAGTTATCTGGTAAAATACTACGAATGTATTCTCCTAGCTTTTCTAAGTCATGCGCGTGTCTAATTTTCGGGTCAGGGTCGTTTGACTCCCGCAATTTGCCCACAATAATATTCGATGTTATTAGATTTTTCTTCTCAGTCACGCCAGGATGGGTTTCACTCTTACCATCAGATCTTGGTAGTGCAATTTGTGGCTCACAATTTGAGTCCACCAGTGAGTTACTAACTACCTGTGTACTGCTTACAGCTTTTTTCTTTTCGTTTCCTACGTACCGTAGTCCATTTTTCATCCCTCATAACACTGGGACTATTTGGAACGGTGACTGTTTTATCCAGATCTTTGGTTCCCATTAAAGGTGCATTATTAACAATCTCAGTACCAGGTGGAACTACTCCCCCTGTTAATGTCAACGAAGATTTCATTTTTACGTCGGTCAGAGTCGGTTGTTTGAGGCGTTGCGTAACAGCAGGTACTACACTGACACATTCGTCACTGTCAGTGCCCGTGTTGTCAGCGCATATGCCGTCCTTCTTTTTACAGGCCAAAACCAATAGGCTCATAGTCTCCTGTATTAGTAATGCCTTGTTGGCACAGCAAAACATGCAAAGCCAATGTGAGTTAGGCTTCGAACATCTTTTGTATGCGGTGGGACTTAAGCGAGTGCACATTTTGTGGAACCACTTATGGCATTCGTCACACTGCATTCCCTCCTCCATAGGGAACAAACAGTTTGGTTGTCCACATTTGTGAGTACTACCAACCATTTTAGTTTGATCAAGGTGTAACACACAATATGATCACAGTATGAACACAAATGTCTGTCAACGAATAAAAGTTTACCACAAGAAGAACTTTAGCAAGATTTCAAACCTTAACGAAAGTACTTTGACACAGACCAAGAATGCTTCGAACGTAATAAATACACAAAAGCCAAAAAACTCAACAGAATATCACTTTAACTGTATTAGATTCAATTAATATGTAAATCGTAGTTTTGATACGCAATTTACGATCAAAACAATTTACTAATTCAACGAGAAACAATACCACTGTCCTTTTTAGATAGCGCGCGAACTATGTATTCGAAACACTGTTGTTTACATCTGAAAACGCGTAAAATGTTAACGAAAAGTCACCTTTGTCAACGTATGATAGATTGATAGTGTTGAAAGCATCAAATATTCTATTCCCTCACTGTAGATTGCATATAACAGGTAAATCGACCCAATACACCAATTCCTATAAACATCCGTGACCTAGATCCATTTGAGTTTTAAGCAAGAGCTAATCAAACAATTCTTAATGCGCTTTTTGCAAAATTTATCTTTCCGTGTGGTTACAGAGCATCTTTACGTCATATCTGATGCCCGTTTGTGAGAAAAACAGCAATCCTGAACTACTTACCCATACTTCGACTACATACCCGTAACTCGGATCAGCGTGAAGACGCTTAGAACTTAGACGCTCCATTCACTATTAGAACTAGAGAGGACAGAAAGCGTATGTAAGAAAGAATTCATAAGACGTCGTTTTTTCATTTTTCTGACAAAATATTGTAAGATCCATTTTGAACGTTTTATGTGTTGGTGAAAATCCCTCCATGTATATACTTGTACTTTGTTCCTATTGATTCCCTTAGTTGTACATTGTTGTACTTTTATTACATTTGAGTTGTTAATACTTGTATTTTTTATTATAGTTTTTGTTTTTCTTACGCATTCACTAAGTTTGTGCTTCTTCCTGAACTGCATCTGTGTTGTTTTACTTGACACTTGTTCTTGGCGGTAGCCATATTGATTTGTTCCTCCTGTTGTGTGTGATCTATCCAGCCAGGATAGAATAACGTTGATTTGTTGTGATTGGTAATTTTTCTCATCTTCTATCAACTTCTTTATTATTGTAATTTAGATTTAATTGATTGAACAATCATTGGTTGAATAGCCGGGTGATAATATTTGTTTAGGTAATGATTTACATTAAAATTATTATGAATTATAGAACCGCTAGTTACCCGATTACTTGTTCTGATTTCGACGGGAAAGGGCGCGTGTCTAACATCCTCTATCGGCTATTCTTCAACATCCAAACCGTAGTTTGGATTCTACAGTTCTAAACAAATTAATAATTGGTTGAATTCGTTTGGCAATCGTTCGCGGATTTTGATTATCGTTTCTGGAAATATTTGGTCGTTTCGTTTGTAATGCCAACTAATCGTCGAAAGAAATCAAGCTCGAAGTTCGTTGATGTTAATGAAGAATCCCCTATTACCAAGCAAGTGCCTTTTGATGTCCTTAAGTGTCATGGTTCAGACTCGAATAGGGTTTATTATCATGGTAGTGACTCTAGTCTTAATTCGATGACAGATGACGCAAAAAATCTTAGTTTAACGGAGAAGCAAAGGCTTGAATTATCAGGAAAAAGCGTTTTGCCTATAGCGCCTGTTGTTGGTCTAGAATTACCAAAGGTTGAATTGAGTTATTTCGATGGACAACCAAGAGGATACTGGATATTTATAAGGCAATTTGAGACCTATGTAGCGTCAAGAGTCACTGATGATAGCCAACGTTTGCTCTATTTGATGCACTATTGTAAGGGCAAGGCGAAAAGAGCTATTGAGGGTTGTGTCATGATGGAAGCATCGTCTGGTTATAAAAGAGCAAGGGAAATTCTAAAACGTTTGTTCGGGCAGGCGCATGTAATCGCTCGGGAGACTTTAGAGGACTTATTCAAAACTACAAATGTTGATTACAGTGATCCTGAGCAACTAACAAATCTGGCTATTAGGATGGAAAATTGTTCTATGGTTTTGAAACAGATGAAGTATACTGCCGACTTAAATTCTCTATTTACCTTAGAGAGAATAGTAGGACTCTTACCTCAAGTTATGCAAGCCCAGTGGGCGGACTGGGTGGATGAATTGACTGAAGATAATAGAGAACCAACCTTTGACGAGCTTACTCAATTTATAGCATCCCGCGCGAGGGTAGCTAATAGTAGGTTTGGACGGTTAGCGAAAAGTCCGAGAAAGGGACACAACTTGAAGACAAATTGTCACTGGCAATTGGAGCAGGAGAATAATTCGAAAGGGAGAGCTAAATGCAGTATGTGTTCCCTGGACCATGCTATTTATAAATGTCCAAATTTTTTAGCGCTTACCGTTCAAGAGAGATGGTCTCACGCGAAGGTTAATGGCATCTGTTTTGTCTGCCTGAGGCTAGGGCATAAAGTTAATGAATGTAAGATAACAAGGCTCTGTAAGGTCGACAGTTGCGAGAGGAGACATCATCCGCTGCTGCACACTGACTCGACAAGCAACGTCATAAATGATAAGCCATCATGCCCGGAATATAGGAAAAGAGTTGTTAATCATACCAGTAAGATGCAGGCATTAGAGAACGAAAAACGTAAGCCTTATGACGTAGAGTTTTCAGATGCTTATTCAAGTGATAAATCATTATCAGTAGACGACAAGGTGGCTATAAAGATTGTGGAAGGTGGCACGCGCTTCGGCAACGGTCATTTTGTAGTTTCTATATTTTGGAAAAAGAATCCAGATATGAGAGTGGATAATTATGAAGTAGCAAACCGTAGATTACAAAGTTTGAAGGGTATGTTGTCGAAGGATGTCAGTCTGCACATCAAGTATATCAAAAGTACTGAAAGTGATATTACTAAGACTTATGCGGAGAGGGTCTTTGAAATATATCTGCAGTCTTATTATCGCCCTCGATGGTATTTACCTCATCGTGCAGTATTAAACATGAAAAAACCAGATTTTAGAGTGGTCATTGATTGTGTCGCCCAGTTTGCAGAGGTTCCCCGGAATGATATGATTTATCAAGAACCCAATACCACCGCTGAGTTAATGTGTATATTATTAGGTTTTCGCAAGGAGGCAGTTGCAATCCCTGCAGATGTTGAAGAAATGCTCATGCAAGTGAATGTTCCTGAGTCTGATCGAGGAGCTTCAAGATTTCTGTGGTGGCAGGAGGGGGACATGTCGAGAGAACCGTCTGAGTTTCATATGACAACTCATGCATTTGGTGTCACATCATCGCCGTTTCGTGCGAACTTTGCTTTGAATAAAACGGCCCAAATATTCTCTGACGATTATGATAGTTATGTCGTAGATACTGTCAAGAATAATTTCTATGTCGATGATTGCTTGATATCTATTCCCAGTTGTGATCAAGCAAAGAGTTGCGTTAAGCATATAAGTGAATTTAAGAACAGCAGTGAAGTAGTAAGTCATGATGATCTGAAAGGTTTATCGGTGATGATGCTTGATGGGTTACTCTGCGTTGGAGGTCGACTAAGATACTCAGATTCCCCAAATGCTTTTAAACATCCAGTAATTTTACCCAGTCGACACTTAGTGACGGAAATGATTATTAGACATTGTCCTAAAGAACAAGGACACATAGGAAGATCATTAGAAAAGGGGTATGGATATGTGTTTTCTTGTTTGCAAACATGGGCAGTACATATTGAAATGATGTGTAGTTTGATTACTGATTCATTTATAATGGCCTTATTACGTTGTATTGGAAGAAGAAGGAAACCTCCGGAGATTTACAGTGACAGTGCGTCAAGCTTCGTGTGGGCAGTTTCTGAGTTAAGGAAGTTTGTGCAACCGTCGAATCAGCAGAAGATAAATAGTGAATTGTCAGCGAGGCCCTCATCCAACAGCATGGGTGGAGTTTGGGGAAGAGTGACTAAGTCTATACCACGAGTGTTATTGTTGGACACCAGAGAGCAAGTGAAACAGGTCTCTTTGAAGCTTCGGATTAGTCTTTGTTGTTATTAATGTAGGTAGGTCGAGTAGGCGTACTGTTGTAAGTCCTACTCGTTCCTATAGTGTGATATGTTATATAATGAACCATGATCGTAGGCATCAAGGTAGCTTGTGTGGTATGGAGGGATTTTGGGGGCCGGTGTAAGATCCATTTTGAACGTTTTATGTGTTGGTGAAAATCCCTCCATGTATATACTTGTACTTTGTTCCTATTGATTCCCTTAGTTGTACATTGTTGTACTTTTATTACATTTGAGTTGTTAATACTTGTATTTTTTATTATAGTTTTTGTTTTTCTTACGCATTCACTAAGTTTGTGCTTCTTCCTGAACTGCATCTGTGTTGTTTTACTTGACACTTGTTCTTGGCGGTAGCCATATTGATTTGTTCCTCCTGTTGTGTGTGATCTATCCAGCCAGGATAGAATAACGTTGATTTGTTGTGATTGGTAATTTTTCTCATCTTCTATCAACTTCTTTATTATTGTAATTTAGATTTAATTGATTGAACAATCATTGGTTGAATAGCCGGGTGATAATATTTGTTTAGGTAATGATTTACATTAAAATTATTATGAATTATAGAACCGCTAGTTACCCGATTACTTGTTCTGATTTCGACGGGAAAGGGCGCGTGTCTAACATCCTCTATCGGCTATTCTTCAACATCCAAACCGTAGTTTGGATTCTACAATATGGAGATGGCTTACATTAACTTGTAAGGATGACACAAGTATTCGGAGTTTTAAAACACTTTTGCTAATAATACCTTTAAAATGGAAGTAAATCAACCCAGTCAAATCAGAAGTCAGAAATAAATTGGTTCGAAAATATATTTGGGAGGCTATCGTTATGCCGTAGCGAATTGGGATTACCAATTGTAGCGTGGCGTCGAGTTGAGATTAACTGTGAACACCGCTACCAAGAAACACGTGCCAAGCGAATCAGAAGGCGTAAGAAGCTCGTTCCAAATGACTCCATAAAATCCCCGAGAAGCCAAATATCAGAAGACAGTTAATGGACCAAGTCGAGGTTTATTAGCTGGCGATCTCGTGGCATCGAAAGGATACCGAGATCGTGCCAGGATACAACCTTGGTTACAGAAGGTAACCGAATTCGCGCGAAGTTACAATCGAAGTGTAAGCGAAAGAATGGAAGCAGAAAATAGCTGTCATTAGCACAGTCAAACAAAAGCACGTTAAAACAAACACTGGTACAGTTGGTTATAATAATAATTGTTTTTATTAAACCAGTCGTGTTCTCGTGATAAACGTGAGTCACTACAATGCCAGTTGTAAGGGATGCGAAGCACGGTCTACTCGTGATCTGGTGCTTATCCGTGACCGACCGCCTTCAGCTAGCTGTGTCCAGTAAAATTAACGAGGTCAGCATCAATGTCGGAAACTAACAGATCTATTTATTTCGAAGACTTTTACTGTTAAACTAGTTTTGTAATAAACTTTTGTCATTTTACACATTTTCCATAGTTGCATATAGTTTATGCATTCACCGTTTCTGATCACAAAACTGTTGCCTGAATTCGGGCGTGACTTTTCCGTCATTGTTTTGTGTTTGCATAGCATACTAGTTATCTCTGACAGATCCATTTCTGCCCGTACGCTTCTCGTTCTCACTTTATCGGCTGCTACGTTAACAGTTCTGTAACGTAATTGCAATACACATTTATGGATACAAATAGCGTCCCCATAACTCGATTATTCCCGATATACATAACCTTGGATCATGCATATCGTGTCCGGAATTACCAACTACTTATTATAATTATGGATTACATGACAAAATCTCAGACACTCTTGTAACTAACAATGTAAGTAATGAGCAGCACTTTTACATGTGTGTTGGTATTTTAATGCACTATTAGTTGTCTTTACAACTTTTTCAACGACGGCCGCTTCGATCAACCTTAAAGGGCTTTTCATGACGAGAAATCACGTGAAAAGGTCCTTTGTAAGGCTGTTGCAGAGGTTTGCGTACCGAATTTCTGTACTAAGTGATTCTTATGGATTTATTAGAAAATTTATTATTAAAGATTGTTGCATAAATTATGTAGAGGTGTAGATTTACAATTATATGTTTAATTAGAATTGATAATTGGTCAAATGATTTATCACTAAAATAGGATCACCAACGCAATATCCTCAAATGATCAACATTGGAATGCAGAATTACCCTCCATTTTGATCATAACTCATATTTTAATTGTTTCCGTATTAAGTTACACTGTTTGAAATTCACTAAACAACTTCGATGTTGATCAGTATGAGAATAAGATGAGGAACTCGCCTTGGTTGTTGTGTGTCATTACGGAGTAATTTTTTGTGGTGCTGAATCTGACTGCAACTAGATTGTATAAATGATTGTTATTGAATGATTGCTGTCGAAATATATATGTCGCCAATCCTCGTATATAATCATCGACTTAAATCGCGTTAGTGAATAACGGAATTAAATAAGTCAAATACGAGAATGGACTTTTGAATACGTATATTTTGTACGCTCGTTGATCTGGTCAGACAATCAGAGGGACGAAGTGAAGGAAGCAAAGAGAAGAGAACCAAGCTAAATGACACGCAGTGGAGAAGGTATCTGAGCAGACACAATTTAATCAAATGTTAATCGATATTTATAGTTAGATGAAAATAAGTTATAGACATGTGATGAATAGGATAGGAAGTGCATACACATATGCTCATATAAAAACAGCTAAGGTTGATAAGCGAATAAGTAACAAGGTCAAAATGTGACTCAAGAAAGATGAATAAATTGGCCTGTACTAAAGCTAGAATAATCTTTGTGAACTTAACATAGCTACCGACACTACAATTTACTTTAGCCCATAACATTTCATTTTTTATTATTCAGATGACAATCTCTTAATACTCTTGATAGTTACTTCTAATTTTCATACATTCATCAAGCTCTTGTTTAAATGTAACCGTTTCCAATTTTTGTGACAATCGCCTCCATTATTATTGTTGACAAGGATTGCGAATGTAGACACAGCTTCTAACTATTATTTACACTATCATATGTTTGTAACTAATTTTTATATAACTATTTATCCACAAAACCCCTTCTGATGTAAATTTTTTTTATTGTATATATTGATGAGTACAACGTTACGGATATCTAAAGAGTTGTGGTTTGTTAATATTTTACATATATGTTGTTCGTCAGATAATCCTTTCGTTTAGATTTGGAATTTAATGTGTCACTCAATCGTTGAGTTTGTGGTGACACACTTTTATCACGAGAACACGACTGGTTTAATGAAAACAATTATTATTATTATAACCAATTGTACCAGTGCTTGTTTAATGTGCTCTTTGTTTAACTGTGCTAATGAAAGCTATATTATGCTTCCATTATTATTCTTACACTTTGATTGTGAACTCGCGCGAATTCGGTTACGCTCTGTAACCAAGCTTGTATACTGGCATGATCTCGGTATTCTTTCGATACCACGAGATCGCCAGCAAATATTATCTCGACTTGGCCCATTAACTGTCTCCTGATATTTGGCTTCCGGGGGATTTATTTGGCACGTGTTTCTTGGTAACGGTGTTCATAGTCAACCGCGACTCGATGCCACGCTACAAGTTAATATCTACTACATAACTCAAATCCACGTATCTGAAAAATATTTAACTAGAAATTACACATGATCAAAAGTCATTTAAAGCATGAGATAGTGTATTATAGGTGTTTTTAAATTTATTAATCAGTCAATGAAATTATTATCTTTCTGTAAAGATGTTAAAATCAAGTTCAGATCCAAGGGTTTTACAAAAATTGGGCATTGAGTAAATGATGTTTTGTTTTTGCACTCATTGGCAAATATAGATTCTAATAAGAATGGCTAGGATTATATTGTTTGGTTTAATGCTCACTTACCAATGAAATTCGAAACCTGGAAAAAATCTCTGAGCTTATTTCTTGACCAAGTCGAAATGTAAAATCTTGACAATCATAAACATAAAAATTCTCAATATATTTATTTTTTAGGCCATAACACACGTTTTTATGATTGATCATTGATTAAATTATTATGTCTGGTTGTCGCTGATTGCTATGTCGGAATCGCTTATTACTTAGACTTGTAAAACTAGTAACCACTGCAATTCCGACGAGGTGAAGTAAGAACACCAAGGCTGGTACAAGTGGAGATTGATTAAATACAAAACACGACGACGCCACTCCTAGTCTAAATTACACTTATTTCTATATTGATTGTACACCCAATTTAATTAATAATTAGGATAAAATCACATATATGAAAAATACTTGGGTTTATAACAAATATAATGCTGCATGTCATGCTGAGCATGGTCCCTGTTAATTTAATACAAGAGTATCATATGTTATACCGAATGAAATATCACACTGGGAAACAAAACAAATATTACTCTGAATAATCATCACATTGAGTAAAACAATGTAATTTTGCCTTTTTAATCCCGTCATATCATAAATAAACGATGACTGATAAATGAAGTAATTCATGTATTCATTCAATCCACTCATATCTAAGTATATGCCCATTTCTATCTCATTATCTGCGATTTACATATATTCAACATATTCATTGATTGATTAATAAATCAAGAGTTTTTGTAAACATCATTTGAATAATTTTGATTAGACAAATATATAGGGTCAGTGAAATGTCAGTGAGCCTTAGCCAAATCATCCGGCAGTTGGGTCTCTGGAGATCGAACAGATCATCGATCCCTGTCATTGTCAAAGAAAAACAACGCACATCACTTAATCGTATGCCATGGACTGGCCCACGCGGTGGTGGTCGCACTTTTCCTTGTACTTATTTTTACTAATATATTTCCGTAATAACGTCATTTATGTTGTAAGGTTTTCAAAACAACCACAGTACTTTGATACGTCGAAGGAGTAGTCCACGTTAGATGTTGACCATGAGGTGTGATTCCGACTTTAGCTGTTGGTCGCACCATTCCCGTCTAACTCGAGTAGTCCCCCAATCATTCGACATAGATCTTCTATGTTGGTGATCAACAAATACACATAGTTACTTGCATAAATCAACACTAACATGAACTATGTAGCTATTTGTAAAAGTCAAATAATTTACTTATCATCATTATACAGAATAAACTGTAATGTATTCCAACATGTCCGATGGAACTTTATTCAAACGTATCTGTTAAGAGTGAATAAAATAAGATGTGACTTGTAACGCAGACCTTGGACAGTTTAAAAGTGTATATCAGCTTTATGTTCTTGAAGTATAATAATTAATTCATCTCTCTCCCTTAAGAATTGATTTTCAATGATACAGATCAATATGGGACATTGTGACGAAGCTAGTTTTTATATTTTCTACTTGTCTGTAATATTTCCAATCAAAAAGCAGATTTTTGATAATATATCAGTTTGTTTAATTATGATTAATAAGTATTCCTTAATAGCTTTGGAATTTTATGTTTTTAAACGACAACTTTGTTGTGACTTGGTTTAAAACTAGCTTTGTCACCATGTTCCATCGTGATCTGTATTATTCACAGTCAATTCTTAAGGGAGAGAGACTGAATAACTAATAGACTTCAA